ATAGAGATTATTTTTTCAATCAAATTATCGCAATATCGCGAATATACTTTTCGCATAAAGTAATTAAAATTCTAGCGAAGTATGATAAGCAATGGTAAAAATTTATTTTTTTCGCTAAAGAACATCTGATACATGCGAAATTAGATGCAAATAATTTGATAAATATATTTAAAAATATCACACACACACCACACATGTTTATAATAAAAATATTAAGCAGAGATATATGGTAAAATCTTTACTGAATATGCTGTTCCTTTCTTTTGTTAATAGTCTAAAAGAAAAGATATTGCGCTAACAGTTATTATTTTTCACCTTTCACCTTTATCTCTGAAAGATGACTTTTAGATTTCAACATGAATCGTAGCTTCTTTTCATATACGGGGTGTCTTACAATAAGCAATATAGAGATATTTTAATTTTAATGAGATTTTTTTACTTGGAATTAATTTTAAATTAAGAGCAGCTATAGGTGATTTGTAAAAGAAGAACCTTCCGCGGGTCAAGCTTCAAGAGGATTCAAGCTTCAGAACTACATTCTTGACTTAATTTGAAATAGATTTGAATAGAATTTTAATTTGAAATTTAATTAGAAACAAGTAATGTTGAAATTGAAAAGTTGCGAAAAATGACTTTTTTAAATGAATTTTTGCGAGGCAAAAATTAATATTAAATATATTAAAATATGTATTAAAATTATAGATAATCTCTCAATTGTAGGACGTTTCTGTACATGTAAAAACGCAAATTTTAGAAATCGCTCTCTTTAAAGTACTTTATTAGATAATATGAAACATGTAATTAAATAAAATTAACATATGTATACATATACAAAATGAAACCAAATAATGCAAAAATAAATGCTACATAAAAATGTTTGAAAATTCGCGCCTGTGATGCAGCACCGTTTCCCGCAACATGGCGAGCGGAAGTAGACGTCACCCAGTGCCAACTGCCAGCCAACGGGGCTCTGTGGTAGGGCTGCTCTTTTTATGGGAGGAAAAGTACTTTTCTCCGTCCCCGCGGCCTCCGTACGCTTTTTTCACAGTGGGTACGTCAAAGTTACGGCATCGAGCCTTTTGAATCGTCGCTTTTTGACGCGACGCGCGTAATTCTCGGAGCGATCGGCTGTCGATTTTTGTAGTCCTGTGGTGATTCGCGCGAAAGAGAGAAAGAGAGACACTGCGAGAAAAAAAAAATTGTTTAGTGTCGGTAGACGAATAGAGGTTTGGTGAGTCGTCATGTTTTTCAATTTCTAAATTATTGGCTGATCATACGGCGGATGAGAATAGCGGATCGAATCAGATTCCGCATCGCGATCCCGTTTCTCGCCTCGGCTGCACCTTCCTGCACCTCTCGCATGTAAAATTAAACGTACACGCAATTACGCCCGCGTGGAGGAAGACGGGCAAAGTGCGAAGAAGCGCAACTGAGAGAAACGGATCCCGGATCGCGCGAATACACGCGGTGCATCGCGCTGACGACGACGCACTGGCTTCTCGCAGCCAGTGCACCACCTGCACTCTATTAAAAGCTAGAATCGCGACGGATTTAAAGAATCGGCCGCGTAGCGCGCGTACAGTCGATCGGTCACGTTGGCAGACAGTGATCTCGTTAACTCGTTTCGCTATTGTTGCAGAGTCATTCGTTAGTTAACACACGCACTCAACACACACGCCGCACGGTAGACGACGCGCATAATATTCTTTCGAAACTACAAATATGTTTATTTGGGACTGGTTCGCCGGAGTGCTGAATTATCTCGGTGAGTGCAATCTTTCTTTCATTAACATGTTCCATAATCAAAGGCGAGGTTTCATCGAGAAAATCGTAATTTGATTACGATGTTATAATTAAATCGTGAAGTCATTGAGGCTGATAAATATTCATACATATTTCTTGGAAGAATTTCGTTATCGGAACGATTGGAATAATTCTGAGAAAGAACTCCACTTTTGATCTCGAAGAACAATTGGATAACTAAGACCTTTGTCATTGCCAAGAGAATGATACTACTTGTTAAGTCAATTTATATATATCTGCTTATCATTCATTAAAAAAAGGACAGATTACTTTGTATTGTACAGTTTTTGTCACAAATAATTTATTTTTGTTTGTCAGATTCACTGTTAATAGCAGCTTACATTTCTGATAAAAGATTATTGCCCTGTTGATTCATATAACTTTTCTTTATTTTTAGGATTATGGAAGAAGAGTGGCAAGCTTCTTTTTTTGGGTTTGGATAACGCAGGCAAGACAACATTGCTTCACATGCTCAAGGATGATCGTTTAGCTCAACATGTGCCCACATTGCATCCAAGTAACTAATTTTAGACTAATTCACATCTCTTTCCTATTTATATTGCATTAGCTATTCCTAAAAGTGTATATTTCTATATACAGGTATTTTTTTACCAATTAATTATATGTTTTGGAATGACAAACTTTAATTTGGTTTTTTTTTGTACTTACACAATAAAATCTGTAATTGTAATTTTCTGTTTTAAAATCGAAATTACATGTCTCCATTATGTCATAGGAAATAATTAAAATAAAAATAATTGCATTCTGAGTTATTAATAACAATTTCTGTTTCATTAATATGTTTTATAATCAAAGGCTGCAATAATGCTTTGTGTTTTGCAGCATCTGAAGAACTATCTATTGGAAATATGAGATTCACAACCTTTGATCTTGGAGGCCATACTCAAGGTTTGTGAGCAAAGTATACACTTTATAAAGTTCCTTTTTACAATTACTGAACAAATACTCATAGCTTTACAACAAACTTTATTTTTCCAGCACGTCGTGTATGGAAGGATTACTTCCCAGCTGTTGACGCGATAGTATTCCTCGTTGATGCGAGTGACAGGACAAGGTTAACAGAATCAAGAGCTGAGTTGGATGCTTTGTTGACTGACGAACAACTCAGCACGTGTCCAGTTCTCGTGCTAGGCAATAAAATAGATAAACCAGCTGCTGCATCTGAAGATGAACTCAGGAACTTCTTCAATCTGTACGGACAAACAACGGGAAAGGTACAGTTCAATATAAATTGGAGAGATGCTTTTTTTCTCTTCTCTCCTCCTCTCTAGCTCTTATTGTTTTAACTATAACTACATTGAATTATAAATGTTAGGAGTGAGAAGTCATGCAAATTTTTTTCTAACTCCAAATATCAATAAAAAATAAGTTTTTTATATGCTATTATTCGCGTATTAATTAGTGATTTAAAAATTTTTATAGAATTTTTACTAAAAAATATAATTTTGTTTTTAGGGTAAAGTCCCTCGCAGCGAGATACCCGGCCGTCCACTGGAACTGTTTATGTGCTCAGTCCTGAAGCGACAGGGATATGGGGAAGGCTTCCGTTGGCTTGCACAGTATATAGATTGAACGTATATATTATTACATTCGTGACAGACAGATTCTCGACAGTTTCATCATACATTTCCCTTTCCTCTGGTAATGGTGCCGATAACGGAATTGTCATATTCACGTGAATTCAACAGTAGGAGAGGAATACCGTTCATCGATTCCCAAAATAAAATTCGAATAAACAGTAATTGAAATTTGAGACAATTTTCACAAATAGCTACGAATATTCTCGAGAACATTGTACACGCGAGTGATAGGACTGATTTCTTTGACGCTGACAAAGCCCTCTCTCTGAATATTTCAAATCCCGTAAATTACGTGGAATCCTATCATTTTGCGAGTCACACTAGGGGAATAATCATTAACACGTGCTGGAGAATGAAATAAAAACGTTTTTTGATAAATAAAGCTAATAAACTATTTAAGAATTCCAAGTGTTTTGTAGATTTATTTTTCGATAAAAACGTTACATTCAACAGTGAGTAATATCTCATATGTTTTATTTCAAGAAAGTTGAAAACATACAATACGTAAATATGAAAATCAGATCCACATTTTTTGTTTCCTTTAATTAATTTACTAATAGTACAATTGAATGGCTGCTAAATATTACTACACATTTTATTGCTGATATTAATTTTATGTTTAATTTCTACTTATATATGCATTCCTGTATTTGTGCCAATAATTCTTATATTTGAAATTATTTAAAAAATGCAGAAATGTACAGAAAGAAAAATGTTGAGTGATTTTTGAGTTTTCTTTGATAACGGCTTTGGTTGCTAAACTCTATTGATTGATACTGTAAAATAGTGCAAATATAGTTTGTAGATAGGAAAAAAAACTGCGTATCTCACAACGACAGTTAATATTGATTAATATTGGTCAAAAAACCAGCACATGCTAAATCTTGAAAAATTATTTTCAATTATACCTTATCTGTAAATTAAGTTATTGTTAATACTATTCATAAAAATTTGTAAAGTTTGTGGGAAAGTTTTGTTATTTTAGTCGATAAATTTAATTTATACGAATAAATCATGAGTCATACCTAGAATTTCTTCCTGTAATAAAAATCAAATTTACATACAGATATTTTGAATATATATACGTAATAGTACTTATGTTAGTTGTAAGTACTCATAATGTTTTCTTCGTTATTTTACACAAATAAAATATATTGTTTTGTATTTTATACAAATTATTTACAAAATGATCTCTAACGAATCAGTTTATAATATAATCTACATCTATATGCAAAAGAAAAATGTGGAAAATTGTACAAATATTAAAAAAAAACAAAGTTCAACATTTGAACAACAACTTTAATATATATCTCAATCTATACAAAATTGGAATACAAAAATAAGATCTTTACTTGTTTTCATAACAATATGTGGCAAAAATATGCTTAAAATATAACAACTAAATGCGGAATAAAATCTTAAATCTTATAATTTACTAGCTTGCAGTTTCAGTTCTTTTTCTGCAGGAAGTGCCGCAAATCGTTTATTTAGATATTCATCTGTGACTTGAGACAAGGAGGCTGGCTTCCATATAGGTTTTTGATCTTTGTCTATCAACAGAGCTCTGACACCTAAAATAAAATTGAAGTAGTCAACTCAACAGTAAGGATTTGCAAGGCATAAATTAAAATCTAATTACCTTCGTAAAAGTCATTGTCTTTGTTTAAAGCGGTGTATGCCAGTCTATATTCAATTTCTAAACATTCCGCCAAAGATTTCCCTCTTCCTTCATCGATCGCTTTCTTGGCAACTTTAAGAGAAGCCGGAGACATTTTTTTTAATGTTTCTACGTTCTTCTGTGCCCACTCCGAATTGTCTTTTATTAACCTTTACAACAAAATTCTTATGTTATACATGAAATGTCGGTTTAATCGATTTTAATATTCATATTTTACCTTTCAATTATCTCTTCGACAGATGAAGCAGAAAAACAGTTTTCTATCTGCGACATATGCGGCGCCAAGCTGAATACGTGATTCAATTTTGGTTGATAATTGTTCAAAATATTTTCAATATCGGATTCTTGCGACATTAACAGATCACGTTTTAAATCCGTGAGTTTCTCCGACAGTACAAAGTGTGTCGCAATTCCAGCAAGAAGTACATCAATACCTTAATAAAATAAACATTTATATATGAATAGGTAGGATATTTTAAATTTAGGTGACATATTGTGTACCTTTTAATCTGTGTCCTGTTAATCCTAAAAAGAGACCCAATTTTCCCTTTAGTCTGGGCAAGAAGTAAGAACCGCCGACATCGGGAAACAGTCCTATAGCTGTTTCCGGCATAGCAAAAAGGGTTTTCTCTGTGGCGATTCTATATTTGCCATGTACAGATAATCCAACGCCGCCTCCCATTGTTATGCCATTCATAAGAGCTATATAAGGTTTCTTGTATGTACCAATCAAGTAATTAAGACTATTACAGAAAGAAAAGAAACTCTTACAATTTATTCATAAATACATAAATGGTGCATATTTGCTGTTGAACAAATTATATAACTTACGTGTATTCCTTTTTAAAAAATTCTTCACCCAGAGCTTCCCCTTTTGGTTTATTCAATGCCAAGACCAGCGATTTGACATCGCCACCAGCACAGAATGCTTTATCACCTGCACCCTCTATTATTATTAGCTTTTTCGAAGTTTCCCATTGTTTGAGAACAGGATAAATCTTCTCAACCATAGATAAAGTTACAGCATTCAATGTTTTAGGTCGATTTAAAACTATTAGTCCACTGTCTCCAACCTGTTAATAACAATTAATAATTTTAATGTAGCTTGATTAAAAACTGGCAAAGTTAAATATTGTGAAACATAATAATATGTGGACGTACTTCTTTTATAAGAACCTCCTCATCCATACTTGTTTCTGTATTGGCTGACTCTTTTGTATCTCTGGAGGATGCTAAAATCATAAAAAAATCTGCTTGTAATCAATGACATAAAGATAGTAAAACATTTACAGGATCTTTTTTGCAATTATATGACATGAATCAGTATGATACAGTTAAGAATTAAGTAAACGTTTTTGCTCTATACAAGAACAATCTAATATTTTTGTAATACGTATCGTTATGTGGAGAAGAATAAAATTATTTTGGAGAATTACTCCGGTGATGTGAAAGCTGTGACAGAACTTGGCATGAACTTGATAAAATTTTTCACCTGAGACAAAACTTGATACTGATAGCCTTTTAATAGGAACACGTGTGACCGCTGCACTGACGCCTAAACAATGTAACTTTCCTGCGAAGTTTTGTATCTAAATATAAGCGTAGCACAATTACAATAATTACCATTATTTAAATTTATTTAATTATTTTAATTCAAATTTACCATTTTTGTGTACGATGATAATGCTATTATTTGAATATGCTGACGTGAACTTCCTCGATGTAAATATGTAATAAGCTGCAGATATACAAGGTGTCTTAAAATCATCCAGCATTCTTTTTTATTGAATACTTACACACTTACATTTCTAGTAATGCGCCATCCTGTTGTTAAAGCACTATATCTTCTGACGCATACTCAGGCAACTCGTATCTTGTTTTAATTATTAGATTTGAGACACAAGCAGCATGAGGGAGGGAATCAGAACTGCCAGTTTTCCTTGGAGAGCTCCATACGCATACAATCGAGGCCTGCTGACGTCACGTATCTATGTACGCTCGGCTTTCGGTTTGTAGAAGCGAGCGGACATATGTTTTGCGTTGCACGCGTCTTGACAGTGAAAATGCTTTCCTGAATTTCGCTCCACGCAAAATCTTTTCTGAGATTTACAGTCTTTCATAAAACGTTTATGATATTTATATTAATGAAATATTTATATAATAACATTATAGAATAACATTCTTTTATTTATGGAAATTAAAATTCAAAACGCAATCGTTCAAAATCCCGCTAAAATAGAGCATAAGAAAGGAGACAGAGATACTCTTTTCTAGTATCCGAAGCTAGCCGAAGCAAGCCGAAGCGCGGAGCTCACATGTACGTGGCTTGCGCTTGCTATGTGCATGTGTGCGGTATTCCTTCTCTCATGCTGTTCACTACTTGCGTCTCAAATCTGGCATTACTGCTTGGCACGGTCACTGTGTATGATTTCAACACGCAACCGACCGGTATCCATATTTATTGCATCTCTACGCTGGTATCAACGAAACTGGAAATTATCTGGAATCGATTTCTGTGCATTAAACTATCACCATGTTGCAGTCGATATTCGATGATTTACGGCGTATGAATAAACGCCAGGTAAATTGTTCTCACAATTATTATCATTACGGTTATTCGGGATTACATATGGTCGCCACGTATGAATATTCTTTGATTTTCAGTTTCTCTACCAAGTATTAAGTTTTGGTATGATAGTGTCATCGGCGTTAATGATATGGAAAGGTCTGATGGTCGTAACCGGCAGTGAGAGCCCTATCGTAGTGGTATTGAGGTAAATGAATATATAACCTAACCTAATTCCATCGTCTATCTATATTAGATATCTCAATTTTTAATTGTCTTCCGCCCAAATTTTCCACTGAATTCGCTAATTTGAAATCAGTATTGCCCGCCCTTGCGTACAGTAACATTTATCAAATATGAATTATTATAAAAAAGTGATACTTTATATTGTTTATGCATATTTTATACAAATTTGAAGGGTATATATAAATATTTAAAAGATTTAATAACGTCGACAAAAAAAATAGCAAACTTTTAACAAATGTGCAATCAAAATATTCACAGAATAAGAATCAATGTAATTCGATAAAATCAGCATTGATCTAACACTGTTATTTTTTGCAGTGGTAGTATGGAACCTGCGTTTCATAGAGGCGACTTACTCTTTCTCACCAATTATCAAGATGAGCCAGTGAGAGTGGGTGAGATTGTTGTTTTCAAAGTCGAGGGCAGAGATATACCTATTGTGCACAGAGTACTTAAGCTCCATGAAAAGTAAGAATTGTTACAGTGCTCTATCTACATGTAAATAAATAGAATAATTTTTTAAAATGTATGAAATTTCTAGGGGTGACCAAAATAACACAGTCAAATTCCTCACAAAGGGTGACAACAATTCAGTGGACGACCGAGGCTTATATGCACCTGGTCAGTTATGGCTGTCGCATAAAGACATAGTAGGTCGAGCGAGAGGTTTCTTACCATATGTCGGGATGGTTACTATATACATGAATGAATATCCTAAGTTTAAGTATGCAGTATTAGCATGTCTTGGATTGTACGTTTTGGTACACAGAGAATAAAGCCGCTCCATAAGTTATATTGTAATGTAAATTATCACCGACTGTCCAGAGAATGCGCAATTTATTCTTATAAGTTTATTGTTTAAACATATACAGAAACTTAAACACAGATATGTGTGTCTGATGTGTTCGAACATAGCATGCACAATAGGGGGGGAATATTTGTATATATATATCGCTAAATGTACACTTAACAAGAAATATAAAAACATTCTAATCGAAGCGCATTTCTTAGCACACATGTATATTCGTGCATTTAAATTTCAAGTGGTGTCAGGCACTTGAGTTGTCGCGAATAAACTTATGCACTAAACATTCTATCTTGATTTTCACAAGATATGGATATTTAAAGCAAAACACTGTATAGTGAAAGATCATAGAATAGGACTTTTTATCTTTAAGTGAAATAAGAGCGTATTTATTTATATTTGCAATTATATTGTATCTAATTAAAGACATCTTCTCTAACAAGATGTTACAAACGTTAAAAAGAGTCCTAAAGATATCTAAAAATATCTTCAGATACCTCTTAGAGATATCATTTTTTTATATTTCTGTTTTTTGAATATATATATATATATATATATATATATATATATATATATATATATATATATA